TGTGTGTGTGTGTTGTGAAGGAAGGGGGTGGGGGGGAGTGAAAAAGAGTCGATGGGAATGACGGCCGGTCAGTTCTATAAACCACGAACCGCCACTGTACATTAGATTAGCACAGCTATCTCTTCTGCCACGTGCTTTTACAGCGGGTTACACTGACTGTAAGATTTTGTCTTGGCCAATAATTTGCGATCACCTCATATCTCCACATTCATATACCGTTATGTTGAAACAGTTGATTTGCTGAGTACTTGAAACGATCTCGTGGTAATTCATGATTCCTGGCTTTAGAGTGAAGGGGGGGGGGGGGTGTCATGACCTTAGTCCTGGTAAAAAGCCTGGAAACAGATACCCGCCTCTCACTTAGAGATTTTAGATCACGCCCTACTTGATAATATTTTTAGGTCAAAATGTAAAAATACCATAGTTACAAACTGCAGATCAATGATAACCTGAAAACTTAAAGTATAAAATAGTGCATTGCTTGTCAGAATACAGGCAATCTGTTAATTTTGAAAGGGTAGTATTAAATAGAATAATGTGGCATTTTGACACTTAGTGGTATTTTCTAGGTTAACTTACCTTGAAATATCAGAACGTGTGAGCGTTTATACCTTTTTGAAGAAATGCGCTTTTTGGACTGCGGTATACTATTTGTGCCATGAGGTGGTGGTATCAGGCGCACTTCAGCTTTTGTACACATTCGAGCTATTAATATCATCTTTAAGCTTGAACTTTTTTTTTTGCTTATGAAGAAATAAATATCCACTGCGATAGAAGGAAAGTGCAAATTTACTTTTTTTTTTTGCCTGTAATCAACGTTTTTCAAGTAAAATCCACTCATTACTATGTTTTTAGTAGTGCCATCAGTGATACTGTTTTCGATTTCCTTATATTTACAAGCGTCTGATTTGACCACTCTGCCTCACATTTGTCTACAGTATGTGAAATTGTGTAGCTGTACTGGCACAATTGATTTTTAGTTAAGGAAACAAAAAGGGACAGAGTAACAACTTAGATAATCTGAACAAGACACTATTTATTCTGAATGAGTATGAGCACAAGGTCATCCAAAAATGGTGCTAGGCTGAAAGGAGACATGCTCTAACAGACATTAAATAATGAACATACTCGGATTAGAATCTTGAAGACCTATAATAAATGCCTTATTTTATTATACTGTTTTGGCAGTATAGACATATCTTCTGGATGATTCAGCAGAAGGCTTAGCTTGAACGTGGGTGGTTGGTGGATGCTGTGATGTCGTTTGTCATTCTTTCTTGCCAAGTATCTATTGTAGACATTCATCTACGGCAGACAGAGGTGATCATGGTTCTCCATTCATTCCTTTGCTAGAATGCTCTTAAAAAAGCTACGATCCCTTCCACGATATTCTCAGCAGTCTCTTAAGAAACCACATTCCTGTTGCTTCTATTTTATTTTCACAGTCTTTAGTAATTGTCCAGCATTCACATCCATATAGAATGTTTGATCAAACATAGCATTTCAGTTGTTTTTTTCCATTTTGGTAGTCATTTAGATGTTTCTATTTTTCAAGATTGGGCTCATTTTATTAAAACTAGCCTTATCCATTATAATTCTTCGTTTTATTTATGTGGAACGTTTGGCATCAGATGTTATTATATATCTATTGTAGATAATTAGAGCAAATTAGTTGGGGTTAATCTATCTAAATCCCATTGATTACAGACACAGCAACTAGCAAAACACTGTGATTAAAACAAACCCAATGGTTACTCCATATTAAATACGGATTCAGAAAACTAATGACTCTGCTAACACGCATACTGCCTTTAGCGCTTTCTGTCTAGAAAAGTCTACGGACGACGGAAAAAAGTACAAAAGGCACCACCGCTCGCCCCCCCCCCCCTTAAATTAAAAAGCACAAAAACATCTCCAACAAAACAAGTTTACCTACAATTTTCAGGGACCTGATGATGGGGATGTCAGTCTCTGAGGGCAGGAAGGACGCTTTTGTCTGTAAGCTCTCAGTATAATTAATGGGAAGCTGTTCCCCATACGAACACGATGTTGTCATCCGTTTCTCCATCATCGCGAACTTCCTCTATGACTAGCCTTCTAGTTAAAATATTTGCATACAACTAAAAATAAACGGAGTAAAATGAAATGCAATGATCACACAGTAAATATTAAGTTTATTTGCTGGGGTTTTGAAGATTGCTGTTATATACGTAAATTATAGATCGATGTATAGCGCGCGTCTGGAGGAAAAGGAGTAAGAGATGAAGTAGGAGGAGACGGAGAACGAGATGCATGAAACGGGAAGGGAGAGGTAGAGAACGAAAAAGAAAGGCGAAGAGTAGGAGAAAGATGAACGCAGAGGCAGAGGCAGAATAAGAAAGCGAGGAGGACAAGGAATACAATACCATAAAAACCTTCATTATCACAGGGAAACAAGCTACAGCTTTAGTGAGTACGATACCCCCAGAGGTAGTTCAAACAAACAAAACAATATGTTCGATTTCACCACCGGCCAGGTAATCAAAGGAAACAGTACATGAAGCCCTGAAAGAGATTATTGGTAATGGCAATTGAATCTCGGAAAGAGAGAGATAAATAGCCATCCAATCCCGTCAAGCCTGGCTTACAGTCAATTTTTAAGAGACGTACGTATTGATAACTGATGATACGCTTAGCAGCCTGTGGAAATGAGGTATTATACATAATACACACATACATACATACATACATACATACATACATACATACATACATACATACATACATACGCACATACATACTCTTCCCATCTCTCCCTCTCTTTCTCTCTCCCTTTCTCTCTCTCTCTCTCTCTCTCGCTTTCTCTCCCCTCTCTCTGCCTATCTGTTTTTTATCGTACCCCTCTCCTTGACTCTGTTCTTATTTCGTTTTCTGAATGTAGTGACACAAGTACACACACACACACACATACACACACACACACACACACACACACACACACACACACTCAGTCTCTCACTCCCCCTCCCTC